AGAAGGAGGTGAGGACTGAGCTTCCAGACCAGCTCGTCTCAGCCGTCTGAGGAAGTAGAGTCTCTGATGACCTTTCTTCATCAGGCTGGTGGTGTTGTTGCTCCAGCTGAGGTTGTTGTTCAGGTGTACATCCAAGTACTTGTAGCTGGAGACCACTTCCACCGCAGATCCTCTTATGTTCAGGGGGTGTAGGTGTTTTTGTTCCTTCTGAAGTCCACAATCATCTCCTTTGTCTTCTTCACATTGATGTGAAGGTTATTCTCTCTGCACCAGCTCTCCAGGTGTTCCACCTCTTGCCTGTAGCTGGACTCATCATTGTTTGTGATGCATTCCACCACCGCTGTATCATCTGCAAACTTTACAATGTGACAGCCTGGATGGGTAGCTGCACAATCATACGTGAGCAGAGTGAACAGGAGGGGGCTCAGCACACAGCCCTGAGGAGAGCCAGTGCTGAGGGTTATGGTGGAGGAGGAGAGGTTGTGGATCCTCACTAACTGTGTTCTGTTTGTTAAGAAGTCTAGTACCCAGTTGCAAATGGAAGCAGTGTTGATAATTATCGTATTTGTAGACAATTTTGCCCTCTGTACGATGTATGATCAATAATCCCAAAAAAGGCCAAATATATGATAATTGGACCATTCTGTGAATGTGTGGTTGTCATCGGTTGTCAGCAGCCTCTCGCACCTGTCTGCCGGAGTTTTTTTGTGAACTGTGAAGGCATCTGTGTCCGCAAACAGACGCACGATTGGCTGGAAATTCCAGCCAATCGTTCTTTTCTAAATGTGACCTACGAGTGACGTGTTTGTGTTTGCCTCAGAACAACGGCCATGATTGGATGAATAGTCCGCTGCGCCCGCCCCATGAGTGAGGACAAGAAGAAGAAGCAGAGCCGGTCTGGAAGCGGACCCATCACTACTATAGTGCATCAATAGATTTGTTATTCTGGTTATGACGGGTGTACGATAATTTCCCTCAAAATACGATAATTTTATGTCTCTAGTACGATAATCCTACATTTCTCACCTGGCAACACTGAATGGAAGGGCTTAGTCCTAGTGTGAATAGTTTGTCCATCAGAGTTTGGGGGATCATTTACATGACCCATCTAGTTCAGAAGAGGGTTTTTTACGGGGGGGGGGGGGGGGGGGGTCAGAGTTGTGGTACATGGCATAATGTCAGGTCTCTCTTGTAAATGAGTCCTTGTGGCTCAGTGGGACTAACCTGTTTAAATAAAGGTTGAATGGTGTTGAAGGCGGATGTGAAGTCCACAAAAAGCATACGGACGTAGGAGTTCTTCTGCTCCAGGTGGTTGAGTGCAGTGTGGACCACAGAGGAGATTGCATCCTCTGTTGATTGGTTCTCACGGTATGCGTACTGATGAGGGTCCTCGTTGATGTTGATGGTTGTTTTGATGTGAGTCATGACCAGTTTTTCGAAGCATTTAGCGACTATCGGGGTGAGGGCCACTGGCCGATAGTCATTCAGACCAGTCACTGTAGAGCTTTTTGGGACTGGGATGATGGTGGCAGTCTTCAGGCAGGTGGGAACTGTCTCCAGGGTAAGTGAGGTGTTAAAGATGTCTGCCAGCACCTCACAGAGCTGATCAGCACATTCTTTCAACACAGCATGTACTATTTTATTAAAAACATTCAAGCAAAAATTCTGTACATTAATTCTTTTTCTTTGCTTGGTTTAGAGAGTGAAGTGTTTAAGAACTGATGCTCCGTAGTGACGTCATCATATCGATCAGCCATTCGCTGCTCAGTCTTGGTCAATGAGGCCATCACCATGGAAACAGGCCGCTCTCTTCCTGCCGTCAACAAAGGTTAAAGAAATGTGGATAAATGATGAAGAGTTAACCAAAGAGGTGTATGTTCTAGAACAGCGCCGCTCCAGGTGGCTGCATGTTGGAGCAGCTCTGTTACTTTCATTCTGAGATTTTACTTTTGGAAACTTTAATTCTTCTTTTTCTGGATGTAAATCACATGTTTTGGATGATTGTTTCCTCTGGTATCAGATGCTGTGCAGCTGGAAGGATTTTTACTGAAACTTTTTAGTTTTGGACATTTGTTATGATGTGTAACCATGGCAACAAGGCAGTTTTCTACAACCAACAGCAGCTGATCAACATCTCAAAAGCTCAAATATCTCATCTACAGCCCTAAATCTCAAATGAGTTGAAAAGGATGTTCTGTGGATGCATTCTCATCTACCTGCCAGCTGTGCTCGAGTGCCTGACCACTGAAATCCTGGAACTAGCAGGAAACACGGCTCATGACAGCAGAAGGACAGGATCATCCCTCAGCACCTACAGTTGGCTGTCCACAGCGACGAGGAGCTCAGCAGACTGCTGGGAGGAGTGGCCATCACTCTGGGAGGAGTTCTGTCCAGCATTTGGGCGGTCCTACAGCCTGGGGGGAACCGAGAGGCCAGCCGAGTCTGGGTGGATGGATCAGACAGCATCTGCAGCCAGTTTCTTAGGATCCACTGAGAGATGGACCTTTACAAGAGATCCTTCCTGCCTACAGCATCAGCATCTATAACATCTCTTAATGAAATGAGGATAACGAGTTACAACAACAAATAATTTCCCTTTGGGATTAATAAAATATTGTTGAATCTCTTGAGACCATCTTATCACAAGCAGAACTGGTTTGTTCCGCTTTGGAGTAAGCTGTTGGGGGAAGAATCAGTTTTGTTGTGTGTTTCCTTGACTGATGAAGCCTTCTGGATCGAAGGCGAAACGTTTCAGCACAAAAAAAGAAACTGCCCAGATGCCCTGACTGAAAAATGTTGGATTGTATACCTGGATTATTGAGCATGGACTTTGTTATCTTGTTCCTGTTTTCTTTAAAGTCACACACTGAAAACTGCTTGATTAAACAACCAAACTGGGTCACATCTGGACCAAAGTGGGTCACATCTGGACCAAACCAACCCAGCAGGCCAGTCAAACTCAATTCAATTCAAAAATACTCTATTAATCCCAAAGGGACATTAAATGTTGTCGTAGCTCATCATCCTGATTTTATTCAAGAGTTGATAGATGCTGACAGCTGTGGGCAGGAAGGATGTCGTGCAGCGAATCCGAAGAATCTGGCCACAGATACCGATTCGTCCACCCTGATCCAGCTTGCTGTCAGCAGGACTGCCCAAATGTCTGGCAGAATTCCTCCCTGAGGTCACTGCTCCCAGCAGTCTGCAGAGCTCCTCGTTGCCACACACAGAATGCTGAAGGTGCCAGGGGATGATCCCGGTCCTCCTGTTGTCACGAGACAAGTTTCCCACCAGCTCCAGGATTTCGGCGGTCAGGAACTTGAGCACGGTCACCAGGTTGATGGGAATTCATGCACAGTGCCTCCTTTTCAACTCATTTGAGATTTGGTGCTATAGTTGAGGTATTTGAGCTTTGAAGATGTTAATCAGCTGCTCCTGGTCTGACGCAGCTCGATGGCTTTCTACCCAAAAAATAAATTAATTGACAAATTTATTGAACTAGAGCTACTAAAGAGTAAAAAATTAAATAAATAATTCTGGTTCACTGGATAATTCCTACTTGGGTTGGAGCTAGCTGGTGCTAATCACTGTTAGCATCGGCTAGCTGGTGCTAATC